ATTAAAGCATGTCAACATATTCTGTTACACCAAATACACAAAATAATGATCTTTAAAAAAGCATCATATGACCCCGTTAAAAAAAAAAATCACATTCAAATTTAAGAGCTTTAAAGACCTTTTAAGACCTGCACTTGACATTTCAGCCTTTAAACAATTTTTAAGAAAAGGGATAAGGCAAAAGTTTCAATTATATTAACCGTTCTCAGCCCGTAATTCTCGGCACGGTTAGACAACCGTGTGCGTGACGTCGCCACTCTGTTGCCTGGCTACCAGTTTCTCTTAAGACACCAATTGACTAATATACTTTCAGCTGGGGATGATGACCCTGAGACTCGTCGTGCTGAGATGTCATGTGGCCATGCAGTGACTCCACAGTCACTGACTGCATGGTGTCGTAGTCTGCTCGACCAGGTAATACGTTTATTCAGACTAAAGAATCAATACTTGTTAACAGGCACATACAGTAATCTAAAAGTATGTCTGCATTTTATTCTCAGGGTCAGCACAAGTTCCTGTGTCCTGCACTTAAAGAAGGCACACTACAAAGATGCAATGCAGAATGGCCCTATGCAGAAGTGCGGAGGTTGGCTGTACTGACTCAAGAGGAGCAGAGCCATTTTGAAGAGACGATGGCTGTCCTTGCTGCAGCTGAGTACTGCGAACACAAAACTGTGAGTTACTGGCATAAATCCCAACATATATCCAGAAATAATTGCATTCTTGAATAGATTCATAAAAGTTGCTTTTTAGAAGTTTATTTGTAATTCCATGAATGTCTTTAATTTTATATTCAGTGTCCTGGATGTCAGACATTTGTTGAGAGAGCTGACATTACCAACCTCTGTGTCATGTGCACGATCTGCACGGCTGAGAAGGGTCGCACGTTTCAATTCTGCTGGCAGTGTATGAAGGAGTGGAAAGGCCCAGGCCCTCGATCTGACCGCTGTGACAACCCTGACTGCACCAATCCCGACATTGAAAAGTTGGCAAAATGTCGTTATATAACACTACCTGAAGTCAATAGTGTGAGCTGTCCCTCAATGCGAGCTTGCCCCACTTGTGGCAACCTTGTGGAGCATGACACAACAGGGTGTAAGAATGTCATATGTAATCGCTGCAGGGTAGAATTCTGCTTTGTTTGCCTGAAAGTCACTCAAGTATGCTTGCAAACAAGCAGTTACTTCATTGGCTGTTCTGATGGGATTGCGCCACGGCAGACTTCCATTCCTTCCTGGAATAGGAATTGAAAACCATTGAAGAAGCCAAACAAAATGATGTTTTAAACATTTGAAATAAAATGTAAAAAAATGTGTACCTTGAATGTAATGTAAGTTGCTTTGGATAAAAGTGTCTGCCAAATGCATAAATGACATGTAGTAGGCTATATTAAAATGTCTATTCCTTTTGTGTGCGATTACATATAAAAATCAAATATATAAGGTGAAGGCTTTTTTTTCCCATTGTTCTTATATTGATTGTTTATTCTCTTACTGCATTTTGTAACCATTTAATTATTTGTTTGCTTATGCAGAGGCATAAATGAGAGTGAATTTGAATGTTTTCATATTGTAGAATGGGTTACATGGCCTCTTAAAATTTCTTCTGCTTTTCCAGGCATAAATTGCTCTAATATACAACAATAAAATCAGTTCGCTGAGAAATATTGTTGCCATGGTATATTTAATCAGTACTAAAAACAAAAGTAGGAAAAAAAGTTTTAACATTTATGCAACTGTTGTTTCCCGAATAAACAAACAAAAAACAGGATGACATTTCTTATTTCAAATGTAGCCATGTGACAAAGGCCAAATTTGAAATGGAATTTCCCTTAAAGTCTTCAAAGTTTCTGCAAAGTAAAAGTCAGCACAGATCAGGTATGATGCCAAATTCAACATTATGACAGACAGGTTTTATTTTCACAGTTTTATTTTCTGTTACATGTAAACCAAAGGTCTTGACTGTCTATCTGAGAACTGTGCCATTGGATTTCAAAGAGGAAGACATTCCTTTATTATTCTCTGGAATTTTCCTGTTAACAAGGTAGTTGCTCAAATGTTAGACAGGTAAACAATAGTTATTCAACAAATGTTAAATGGAGTTTTCCTTGAAGCCCAAAATATTTATGCAAATATGAACAGATCAGATGTGGTTAGACGCTTAGTTTCAAGTGAACGCTCATCCCTTAAAGTCTTCAAAGTTTCTGCAAAGTAAAAGTCAGCACAGATCAGGTATGATGCCAAATTCAACATTATGACAGACAGGTTTTATTTTCACAGTTTTATTTTCTGTTACATGTAAACCAAAGGTCTTGACTGTCTATCTGAGAACTGTGCCATTGGATTTCAAAGAGGAAGACATACCTTTATTATTCTCTGGAATTTTCCTGTTAACAAGGTAGTTGCTCAAATGTTAGACAGGTAAACAATAGTTATTAGTTTCAAGTGAACACTCAAAATACATTATTTGGGTAACACTTTACAATAACTAACAAACACTTTAATACATTAACTAATGGAACCTTGTTGTAAAATGTTACAATTATTTGTTATTAAAGCATATACGTTAACAAAAACACTTAAACAGAAAACCAAGCAGCTGCATGATTTGGCATGGCAGCTAATACAAATAATTAATAACCGTTTGCTAGACTATTATACAAAGTAAAGTCCGGCCGTCCCCCTCGGTCTGGACATACTGTATAGGACTATGAAGTACAGACTAATAAAGACTCGCAATGCCCTCTAGTGTGCAAGTAACCTTTAATTAAAAGGTTGTTGTGAGCCACATAAAAGGTCTCTAAGCTATATCAGTTAAACAAATTACTCACATTAAAGGTTTGTAAACTTTCAAGGAACATAAATCTTTTTATTCCTACCACGATTGTGGGCAGAGAAGAAATCGCATGAAAGCAAATGTTAACCCAAATACGAAAACTCTCTTACTAAAATTACAGCCTATAATGTGTGCACTCTTTTGAAGGACTCGCTTCAGAAAAAAAAATCTCCTTTATGCTTCTGAAAATTCAAATTGATGTTCAAACCTGGTGCCCGCACAATTAGGACCATTGACAATTTAGATGTGTACTGTACGAAATGACTTCTATGTACATTTTAAAATAATCCTCTCCTAAATTGATTAACACCTCTAATGATGTAGTCTTAATTTGTGAAACAGTGCATCTCTAAATATGGTGCATGCATAGCATGAGATTTCAGCTCATCTGTAACTTCCTACAGATCTTTTTGTTTCCTTCTGCTTTGTAATTACAACCTTGTTTATCACTAGTGAAACAGATCTCAAAAACCTTTAGTCGCCATCATTAGATGTTATTCTATTTGTTATAGACATTTCAAAACTTAAAGATGCACATAAAAAGACATGTCTGATTATATGTAATCTTTATTTAGCATGAGCCAATGCATTTCATTCTAAACAAGAAAAATAAAAATAATAATAAACCTTTACAACAAAACAACTGGACCCATCTGTTAACATTAATACAAAGGAAAAAAGCTCTTAATAGGGGCTATTCAGAAGCAGAACCATGACTGGGCATTGTCTGTGTTGAGCAGCCACCCTGCTTCTGAGACTTGAGTTTCTTGCAGTATTTCTGGAGAAGAGAGACAAAGGATAAACGTTAACTATATAAACAGATGTGTTCAGTCTTGAATAAGAACAGTATTTTAATTTAAAAGGGTACCAGTTTTTTTTTAAACCGGTAAGAAATTAACATTCAGAATTAAATCAGAACTTGTACCTCCATGTTCTGGTAATGCTTTAGGCTACTACAGTGACTTTTCTTAGCAGTTTCCTCATTGCCATAGAATAAAGAGCAGAGTCTGCAGAAGAAACCCGTCTTGGGCACCACAAAGTCAACCCCTATGAAACAGATAAAAAAAACACAAAAAAAACATTAAAGATAACTTTGCTTGGAGATAATGCATTTGATTTAGTCATTGTTAACAGTATTATCAAACAAAATATATATATATTTTTTTTAATATAAAGTCAATAGGTTGGCTTAACTGATGTTTGCATAATTTCTAGTGGAACTCTTACCAATGGGATTGTCTGGGTTAAACGGGGGCAAGGTGAAGTCTTCAAACACAGGGGAATGAGAGTGGGCCTTCTTAGCTTCTGGTTCCTGTGTCGGCTCCGTCTCCCGCCTTTGCTTGGACTCTTCTGCAAATGAAAACGGAAAAAAGCAACAGGTAAGAACACTGGTACCAACAAATGCTAAATAACTATCAATGAGATTAAACACCTTTGATTGTGGATTTTCTGCCAGAGACTGGTGTGTCAACAGTATCACTTTCTGACTTTGCAGAGTTGCCATCATCTTTAGCTCTCGTCTTGTCCTCTTCTGACCCTGAAGAGACCTCTGCAGTGACCACTGCAGCCGATGAATTTGGAACTTTCAAGGTTTCAGCCTTTTGCGGTTCTGGCTTAACATCAAGAACCATGGATTCTACAGCTGCAGGAGGACTCTCACTTATGGAAGCAGCTGCCTCTGGTTCACACTCCGCATTTGTCTCGGGCTCCTCTGCTTCTTCAGCACTCTTTGTCACCCCTCTTTTACCTCTTGTGGATCTCCTCACTACAGAGAGCAAAAGGAGACAATAGTGCTTACACTTACAAATACATCTCATCTGAGTGTTTAAAGAGAAGGAAGCTGCTTTCTCTTTTACTCACCTGGGTTCTGGCGTGCTCTCTTTTTGGCCCTTGTAGCTCTCTTTTTAACTTGTTTCTCCTCTTTGACATCTTCACTGGGTGGTTGTTCCTCTTCCTCCTCCCCTACTTCATCCACAGTTACAAAGTTCATCTTGCGGAGTTCTTCAAAGTCACAGGCATCCTCTTCTTGGCTTGGTGATTTCACCGGCTCCTCTGGTATGATTGGTGTTGTGGTGGTTGGCTTGTCTTCACTATGCTCCACTTCCTCAATCTCCTCATCGTCACCCTTGGCCTCATCCAGGGTTACAAGAGTCTGGAAAGACAAAGAAGAGGTCTTCTGAGACTTTTTCTCTTTCTCGGCCTGAATCTTTTTGCTCTCAGCTTGAGTGGACTTCTTGATCGCTTGAGCAGGCTTCTTTGAGCTTGATGGACCTTTTGTGGTTTTCTTCTCTGCAGCTTTTTTCTCCATCTCTGCCTTCTGTTTGGCTTCTTCTTCAGCACGTTTTAATGAAGACTGTAAGCGACACTGATGGACAGCTAATTCAAGGGCCTTCAAAATCTCCTGCGTAACCGGAGGAAAGTCCAGAGAATTGTCGTCAATCTGGAAGGGCTCAAGCACCGTTTGAGGACTGTTTGAGGCACATGTAACTGTGACAGAAGAATTACTGACAGTTTGATCAGAAGTGGAGGGTAGGTCAGAAGCAGGATCAAAGGGTGGAATGGAGTCAGATGCAACAGCTGCAGGGACATGCTCTTCAGCAGGTTCGGTTTGATTATTAGACTGAGGATTGATGTCCATCTCTAAAGGTTCAGTTGGTCTCAAGTCATTGGCCTGGCCCTCATTTTCTATCTTGAGCTCATGTGTTTCCAAAACTTTCTCTCTGACATCAGTGCCTTTGGTAGGTTCTTCTGGACTCTGGGTCTCCATGGCCTCTACTGCAGTTTCCTCACTGCTAACAGTTGAAGCAACAATCTCCATTTGTGACTTGGACTCAACATTATCGTCGTCATCTAACTTTTCATTGTCAATTTTGCTTTCTTCCACAGATGTAGGAACCAATTCTTTGGGAACATCTTCAGCCTGCAGCACATTCTGATCATTTATCTTGAACGAAATCCCTGTCTGATCAGTTGTGTCTGTTAAAATGGAATTTTCTAAGGAAGCCAATTCATGCTCTGCTTTTGCAGACTCCACTGAAACAGCAGATTCTCCTGAGGGAACTGAGGATGCAATATCAGGCTTTGTTTTCCCAGACTCAACTGAAACTTCAGATTCTGAAGCGGAAACAGCGGATGCAACTTCAAGCTCTGTTTTTCCAGATTCTGTAGCGGGAACAGAGGATCCCAATTCATGCTCTGTGTTTGGAGATTCAACTGAAACGGCAGATTCTGAAGCAGAGACAGATGATTCAAATTTAAGCTCTGCTTTCCCAGACTCAGCTGAAACGGCAGATTCCGAAGCGTGAACAGAGGATTCAACTTCAAGCTCCTTGTTCTCACTCTCAGATTCTGTCGTGGGAACTGAGGATCCAGCTTCATGCTCTTTTTTCAGAGTTTCAGCCTCAAGGGTTTTCATGACAGTTTCATTAACAACTTGGTTATCCTTCTTTGCTTTATTCTCAGGAGTAGCTGTTTCCGCATTAGCAGACGCATCAACAGTAAGGTCTTTGGGAACTGCAGAAATTTTAGTTGCAGCTGTATCAGCATTCACCTTTTCTTCACCAACACTTTCTTTCAAACTTTTGCTTGAAACAATACTTTCCTCTGCTTTAGCCACAATAATAGCAGCTGTTTTTGGAGCTTTGTCCTTTGTGACATCTGCAGTAGATGCAGCAGAAGCTGTTGCTGCAGCCACTGGCTTCTGGGCTTTGACGGTATTACGTTTTTTTATTGTCGCTGCTGTTGTACCAGGAGGGTTTGCTCTAAGAGGAGAGTTAAACATGAGAGAGAAAAGTTACATTTCCAGACAAGTTCCCCTCAGACATACATTCATATACCCTAATTGAATCGTGATTTGTTTAGCATCTCAACCGATTTGAATCGTCACATATTTAAATCGATTTTCAACCGGCTTGCGGTTAATCGTTACATCCCTACTGTTAAAGTAAATAATACAATCAAATATAAAAAAAATGATATACATATTAATATAACAATGTAATAAAAAACATTTAATAGAAAGCCACCAACCCATTTTTAAATCAAGGATTTTTTAATGTAATTTCCTAATATTATTACCTTTTGTTGAGTGAATGCTATGACAGGAGTTGCAACGAAGCCATATGGTTTAGCAAGGTTGGTGAGATCATCCTCAGTAACCCCTTCCTCTGGAAGATTCGTAATCTCAACTATATTTTTTCTCCAGGGTATTTCCTGTAGTCAAAGAAAGAGAACAGATGTAGCTGTTTTAACAAACTGAATGGTTTTTGTATGTGGAATAAATAAATAAATAAAAAACACAGTTTGGAGGGAGAACACAAAATAACATACCTTCTTTACTAACTTCTTGGCAACAACTGCTGTCTCTGTCAAATTATACAAGCAAAAGTTATAGAGATTATCCTGCATGATCACAGGAACAATTACAGATGAAGATGTATTAACTTACCTGAACCCTTAGCAGGGAGTTTAGCTTTAGCTGTCTGTACAGTCTTTTTGGGGACACTGGATTTTCCCTTGGTTAATTGAGATGTCTTGGAACCTGTTGCCTCTTTAGCTTTAGCTGACTGAGGTGCCTTCACTGGGTTTGCACTCTTTACTTTTGCTGATTGGGTTGGTTTTGTTGTAGTCACCTCTTTTCTGTAATTAAACACAAATGCATTTACAGAACCTTTTGTAATATGTGTAAACAATGCTTTGATGTATAATTCAAAAATATGAAATATAAAAATCAACAGTTATTTCTAGATGCACTGCAAAACCACTGCATGCGTGAGAACTTACTTCTTAACAGGTTTTTCGGTCTTAACAGATTTTCTCCCATCATCATTTCTTGCATCCTACAAAAATGCACAAATTGGATTTAATGTCAGGGCTTGGTATGGTTCATCTGTAAGGTGACTTGACAAAGAGTCAAACATACCTTCTCCATGCAGACATTAATAACCTGTCCACGAATTGTCAGGTTCTTACAGTTGAGCAAAGCTTTGGCATCCTCCTCTCTCTCCATACACACTGAGGCCTGAAGAGAGTAAGAACCACAAATGTTTGCAACAGCTACACAAACTACATTTCAAATGCACATATTTGCATTACACTAGCATTAAAAAGTTTTGGGGCAAGTAAGTTTTACTTTTCTTAGAAAGGAGTTAATACTTTTTTTACTTACACTGTTACACTAAAATTTTCTAGCTTTGCCATCACAGGAATAAATTACACTTTTTAAAATATATTAAAATATAAAAGTTATTTTAAACTGCAATAATATTTCACAATATTACTGATTTACTGTATCCTTAAACAACTAAATGCAGCCTTGGTGATCATAAGAGACTTTCAAAAACATTTTTAAAAAATCTGACCCCAAACTTTTGAACAATAGTGTACATTTTTCAAAAATGTACAAACCCAGCAAATACAACTTATGTTCTCTTCTAAGCAAAATAAAAATGGTCCAAAAAAAAAAGTATTCAAATTAACTCTGTTGACATGAACTGGTCATTTATGTGAGCGCATATATATATATATACACACATGTATGTATATGTATGTATGTATATGTGTGAGCCTGGACCACAAAACCAGTCATAAGGGTCAATTTCTCGAAACTGAGATTTATACATATGAAAGCTGAACAAATAAGCTTTCTAAGCTTTTTTTTATGTATGGTTTGTTAGGATAGGACAATATTTGGCTGAGATAAACTATTTGAAAATCTGGAATCTGAGGGTGCAAAAAAAATTATCTAAATATTGAGAAAATCGCCTTTACAGTTGTCCAAATGAAGTTCTTAGAAATGCATATTACTAATCAAAAATTAAGTTCTGATATATTTACGCTAAGAAATTTACAAAATATCTTCATGGAACATGATCTTTACTTAATATCCTAATGATTTTTGGCATAAAAGAAAAATCGATAAGTTTGACCCATACAATGCATTTTTGGCTATTGCTACAAATATACCCCAGCGACTTAAGACTGGTTTTGTGGTCCAGGGTCACATATATATAAATGAGTAAGTCTGACATGTGAATGTGAAATGTGAATTACAAAGCAGTGAAGGCCACACATTTTACACAGAGGTAGATAAGAAACTAATTAACTACCTGCACTGTGCTGTACATTCAAAAATCAAAGCAAAATAAAACCACAAATGGTAAACATTATTTTTACCTCATTAATCGCCTTGAGGAGGATGGCAGTATAAATCTTGCCAAAAGGTTCAATGGCATCAGTCAGTTCTTTGCTTGTAGTCCCAAAAGGAATTCGCATGAGCCTCAACAAACAAGATGTGCCAGGGGCATCCTTGGCTCTTAGCTTCACATCATGCAGAAACAAAGAGAGATAGCAATTAGGTTTCATACACAATGACCTACATTCATCTCTACTTTTTTCAAAAATGTTTTCTAATGACCCTGATAGAAATACAACAATACAATGACCTCAAAGCCAAAGTAATGGAGGAACAAACAGCCTTTACTGCAATATGAGGATGTACCTTTGGAGTGCTGGAGGACTTTGAGGTGGAGGTTCTGCTTGACTTGGAGTACTCAGCTCTCTTAGGAGGGGAAGACCGTTTCCAACTACTGCTGCTGCATCCCTTTGACGAGGAAGTAGTGGAACTACTTTTCTTCTTTGCTAGCTCAGCAAGCAGGGCTGGTGCCAAGGATTTCACCACAGCCTTCAAAGTATTACTGTCTGTGATAGAGGAAAGCTCAGCTGTGGGCAAGAAAAGAACTTCATGTATTAGTACACCAAGTGATTTGAAAGCAAACTGTATACTTCATTGCAAAAGCATTGCAATGAAAGATCTTACTTGAAGACATGAGTTTCATGGCCAGTCGTTCACTACTGCTAGATCTCTGCTGACGGGAGGGGCTGCTCCGACGGGGGCTTGAACGGCGTACAGGAGAGCGCCTACTGTAAACTGGAGACCTTGACCGTTGAGATGGTGGACTACGGGACCTCCGTCTGTAAGGACTGACTCGAGATTTCCTATGGGGGGATCGGCTGTGACTTCTGGAACGCCGGTACCTTCTAGGGCTTCGGGAGGGGGAGTGGGAGCGTGAACGCGATCGTTTACGACGGCTTGAGGAGTCATGGTGCCGCTTCGGGCTAGGGGATCTGGAGTACGAGTGCGATCGGGTGTGCCGCTTTGAGCTGCTGTGGTCTGATTTGGGCTCAGGTCTGTGGATGATTGACACATTTTTAAGTGAATTTAAAAACCTTCTTAAAATTCTTAACATAAGATTAATTCTATTTCTAGAACTAAATGTCCACGATTGGATATGGTAGGGATTTACCTTGTAACAGAGACAGCCTCAACATTCCAGTCAGGATATCTATAATAACGAAACAATATAAATGAGAAATTTTCCAGTGGAATTCTTGAGCAATAGAAGCCACTCATAAAAAAACACTCACAGTTGCCTAAGACGTCTACAACTCTCAATGTGAAGATTTGTGTTCTGATGTTCAAGCCAGTCCTGTAGAAAAACAAAAAGCTTTAATTATCATTGTTTCTGCTTTAATAAATACTTGTTTAGTGTTTTAAACTGTGCAACTGATTAAAAAACAGATCCACAAAATGTTGAATAGAGAGCTACAAACTTTCAAAAAAGAAAAGAGGAATACCAGAATTCCAAATTTGACACATGATAAAGCTTGTTAAATCCACTATCGTCTCATTAGAATAAAAAGTCCATGATTTTTGACGACAAAACTTTTTCCGACATGAAAAAAATCCAAAGCGTTGCTTCAGGTATTACGAAGATGGAGATCTCCATCTGCCTTTTGTCTTCAGCATTGTGTAAAGTCATCAGGTCTGTCTTCACATCAGGTACATTTTTTTTTCAGCCAGTCCAAAGTCTTAAACTAGGTTTCAACAAAATGTTTTTTCATCGGGCTTCCCACAGGTTTCTGAAACCTTCAGAAATCCTTCTGAAACTGGAATTGGCTTGAAGTAGTCAAGATAAAAAAAAATTTCCAGCCAGTTATTATCTACTCTATTTACATAAAATTATTGGCAAATATTTTTTAACCCACAATGAGGCAACTGCACAATTAATGAGCAATTTAAGTTAACAAACATTAAAATTTCATTACAGGTTTCTGACATTTTATTTCATAGTCAAATTTAGTACAGTTTTAGCTCAAAGTTCACCAACACATTTAAATGAATAAAACAGCAGGTGAAACCCTTTACATTAAAAGAAAAAAAAGCTTTCAAATGAGGCACTACTGGGTAAGAAGATACTCACCTTAATCTGGATACATTCAATGTTACATAGAGAGCATGTATGAGGAAAGATTCTTGGAGTAGCTGCAGAGTAATCGTTCATCATGGTCGGAGTTGGAAGCCTCTTCGTGGCGGGCAGGCTGATTGGAGGTGAAAGGAACGGGATCCAGTTAGCATTCGGACCTCCGGTGATAGTATTAATGGTCATCAAAGGAAGAACACCAAGTTGAGGTGGAATCTGCGAAGGAGGTCGACTGGAAGGTGGCAGAATAGGCTGGGAAGCAGATGGTCTCGCTGGAATCTTCTTAGTGGGTCTCGGATCTACTAGTGGAGGTTTCTGAAGCTTTGGAACTTGTACAGGGCCTGGAGCTGGTTGACACGGCTGAGGATGCTTTGTGATGTCCATGCCACTGAAGGGTGGTCCAGAGACCTTCCTCACATACTTTGGTGACTCTTTAGGCAGGTGTTCACTTGCATAGCCATCCGGGCTCTCCTCAGGATAGCCAAATTTACTAGAATGTCCATAGTCAATAACTTTGCTGTATTCAGATCTCGCATCAACGTCCCTCTTCGCTTTACGCATTCGGATGTCTCGTAAAATAAACGGTAGGTTGTCAGGGGTCAGCTTATCATCTGGATAGTGGCTTAGAAGTTCTAGGTCCTCATTGGAAAGTCCAAAACTTGCAAGGATACTGCTGGCACTTTCGGAGGTGTAGCGTGAAGGCCGCTGTCCTGGTGGTCGCTGGCTGTCCAAACCACTTGATCCTCCACCAAATCCTGTTGACTGGAATAGCTGTGAAGAACTGGAAGGACGATCCAAACCTGAAGATGTAAAGAGCTTGCCTGGGGATTGGTATATGGACCAGTCCACCTCATCAGATCGCGAAGTCCCTGAAAAGCCGCTCCCGGAGGAAATCGCTTCATCCCTTGCATCCTCTCTCATACGGGGATCTGCTTTTTTGGGTTGCTGGAGCATTTGAGTGAGAAGGCGAACTTCCTCACGGGCTCCCCGAAGGTTCCGATCTATGGCGGCTTCGAGATCTGGGGAAATCTGCGACTGGCGTTGTCCCAGTGAGAAGGGCTGGTTGACCATCAATCCTCCGCGAGAACTGGATATGGAACCTGGGCCAAGACGGGCTGCCCCCAGCTCCATTCGAGGCTGTGACCCAAGACCATATTGGCCAGGCATAACGGGTCTCTGACCACTGTGGAACGGCCTTCCACGGGGATTATATAATGGATGTGACATGGTGACCTTAAGCAAGTTGAGCAAGGTCAAAGCAGGTGAAGCAATTGCAGGCGGATTGACGCTTGTGCCAGCAATTGCATTCAGCTGGTGCAGTGCCAACTGAGTCTTTATCTGTGCCGGCTGGAGGGAGACAGGGCCTAAAAGCGGCAGACTCCCAAAATGCCTCAATGCAACAGGGGGCACACAACTTTCCAAGAACAATGAAAAGCTGGAAAAATTAAGGGGGAAAAAAACAGAAAGGGTTATTGGCTTGTCGTCTTCACACAGAAATGGCAAAACGGATGTGACCATTTTCCCCTTCTGAAACACACTCAAATCTCCAGCTTCTAGGGATTTAAACAGGTTTCCATGTCTTCACTGAAGAAGAAAAAACAGCAAGCAAAAAGGACAAGACAGACCAAGGAAAATAATATCACAGTTTAGGTGTATCTTCACACAACTTTCATGCATGTGTTTTAGTAAGGTTTTTTGTCGCCTGAATGTAAACAGGGAGGGACAAACATGCCTCAACACAGGACAACATGATAGGCCAGACTGTTAATTTATAGATATTAGGCAACTGTACCAAATTGTTGGTTTGATATAATTAGAGTCTGGACTGAATATTGTCCATCCCTGTCAAAGATCACTAAGGTGGCTCCTCTTCGTGAACATATCAATGGAAAAATAAAGAGACTAAGAATCTACTTGTTTAAAAAAAAAAAAAAGAGCTACAGAGCTGCTGCACTGAACATTTCTTAAGGAAATAAATAAATCAACAATTTCTAACTAAGCAACCAGGCAGTGTTGCCAAGTCGGCAGTTCTCCTGCGGGACTGGGCCACTTCTATTGCTGTGGGTTTTTTGTTTTTTTTTCAGTCCGCCCTGCTTCCCTGGAATGCTATTTTTAAGAAGGTGGAAACCCCTGGAAGGTGGTTTTGACTCCGAACACGACTTTGACAGCCAATTTCCCCTGGAACAAGATCGGGCTAGTTTTGAGTACCAATTGGGCTGTTTTTGTTATGCAGACTTACCAAACCTGCAACCAGGGCTGCTTTTTTCAATGGTCACTACAATCTACTTAGGCATATAGTCCAGATGAAATAAAACAAAGACATGAGTGTTGTAGCACTACAATTCATCTCTCTCTGCATCAGGTTTTTCCAGCAGTAAAAGTGTCAGAAAAGTCAAAAGGAAACAGCAATCACCACCCATTCTACTTCTATAATGTCACACATTTCCAAATTTTATTTAAAAAAAATAAAAATAAAAGATATAATTATATCCAACTTGGGAACAATTCCTTTTCAGATCTGTCTTTATTTGCCATCACTGCCATAACCTTAGTTAATTGGCATTAAATGCAATTTCTTATTTATTTCTAAATGCATGTTATTGATCTTATTGCGAATGTTTCACCCATGTTTGCATTTGAGAGATGGATCTACTAAATTTTGTTGAAATATTATAAAACCTTTTTTTCCCCTCATGAATAACGTGCACTAAAAAAAACTGCACATCAAGACCAATATTATGCATTAAGTTACAACCCTCTATGAACACCTTGGCAATTGAATCGCCATTGGCTAGTAAATTTTTTTGTTTACTCGCCAGACTGATAAATAAATAAATAAATAAAAATATATAATAAATGTTTGTAAAATTGCAGTTTTTTTAAATATCTGAAAGTACACTCTTAACATCAGTCAGTCAAGCATTATAATACTTAGTATTATAATATTTAGTATTAAATCAATATTTTTTAATGATAGAACTTTAGTAATTAGAATTAAAACTTGATAACCATGTATGCATGCCTATTAACTGAATTAACTGAACTTCGGACTGGTGGTGGTGCTTTTTTGGTCATTCAGTGTTTCTGTAAAAAAAAAATTGGGGAAAATCTAACAAAAATACTGAAAAGATAATAATTATACCAATTCTACTAATAAGAACAATATAAAATGCACTAAGGATTAATAAGATGCTGGATTCATGAATATTAATCAAGTTCTGTGGGTTTGCTCGAACTGATTTGCTGAAATCAAAACAGGGATGATAATAGCTGAGCGCCAGCCAATGAGATCTTTTCAATCAGCCTTTTCTTAAAAGCTGAAGAATTCCAAAGGAATGCTGTTATTTTGACAAGAAAATAGTTTACATGTAGTGCGTCAATTCTCTCTCTCTCTCTGCGTGTGTGAAACAAAGAACGGCGAGTTGTGCGCTTCACACTAGAGTTTACAGTACGTCAAATACAGCACACTGGCAAGTAAAATCTGAGAATTTATTAGCCATTGGCTAATATTAGACATTTAGTCGCCCAGAGAGAAGATTTAGTTGCATATGCCAGTGATTTACTCACAATGTAGAGGGTTAAGCAAATTAGGTCAATTTTGATTTTGACTTTAGAATTCCTTTAAAGGGGTCATATGATGCGATTTCAAGTTTTCCTTTCTCTTTGGAGTGTTACAAGCTGATTGTGCATA